TGCTTTTACTGCCCAGTGTATCTATCAGAGTTCATTTGAAGATCATGGAAACCTCTCTGCTAGTTTAGGCAAGGAAAGGATTAATACCAAGAATTAGAGAATTCACTGCTAACTGGGAACTGTAGGAGCAGGCTCTAGGCCAAGTGCTCAGAAAGGACTCCCAAAATCATGCACAGAACTGGCTTTCCGAGGAGCAGCTCCTCATGCCACTGATGGTCACTGCCCCATTTGCTAGCTGCAGATTCAACTGTCTCATACACGGTTTGTAAAAGAAGAAGCCACCACCTCACCTATTGGTTCTGGGACCTCATCACCACCTGAGGCACCTGCCTTACTGACAGTATAGTTGCCCTGTCCTCTGCCCATAAACACGTGGGAAGCCAGAGCTGCAGCACGGGATGCTGTGCTACCTCTGCTGCAGAAAAACTGGAAGGCTCCATGGTGGAGGCTGGGCCATGTCAGACTGAGTTGAGACAGCCTGGGAAATGTAGTGTTTTCTAGCCTCTGGCATGCAGCTAGACATCCTATAAGGGACTCAGAATGAAAGGAAGTGAGCCAGCTGAACAAGGAAGAACATTTAAAAGAAAATCGCTACCATCTACTTTTCCATCATTTTTAAAAAGAAAGGAGTTTTGTTTTTTTTTTTTTTTTTTTTTTTTTTTTTTGGTCCACCCAAAACACAAAGGATGTTATCTTAGACTAAAAACTCAGGTAGCCACTATAAACTGATATGTAGATACATATATGTGTGTGTGTGTGTATGTATGTGTATCTTTGTTTCCACTGTGAATCACTGAAAATTTTATAGAAGCCACCTCTGGGCCAGGCATGGTGGCTCACACCTGTAATCACAGCACACTGGAAGGCTGAAATCGGTGGGTCACCTGAGGTCAGAAGTTCAAGATCAGCCTGGCCAACATGGGGAAACCCCATCTCTACTAAAAATAAAAAAATTAGCTGGGCACACCTGTAATCCCAGCTACTTGGGAGGTGGAGGCAGGAGAATTGCTTAAACCTGGGAGGTGGAGGGTGCAGTGAACTGAGATTGCCCCATTGCGCACTCCAGCCTGGGCGGAACTCCATCTGAAAAAAACAACAGCAACAAAAAAGACAGCTCTGGGTCAGTCAGACAACCTTAAGGCCTTAGGGAAATCCTGCTTTACTGGGTTGACAGAAAAATGAACGAAAATGAAATTTAAATAAGTGATTTCTGCTATTTCTTAATTAGCCTTCCTGTGTTTGGGAGGGAAGAACCTGAAGTTACATATTGTTGTGTGTTATCTTTGATTATGCATGAATTTTAATCATTTATTTATGCCTGCTTTTCTTTTTCCCTTCCATCCATACACCCATAGTTCTAGCATCTCATCACGGGCAATTGGTGGGGCCTGCACTCCCCAGGCTGTTGACTCCTACCCCCTAATCTCTGTTTTCCTGCCCTGCAGCTGTTGCTAGAACACCAGGATGCATATCAGGCTGGAACCGTGTTTCCTGACTGCTTTTACCCTGGCATCTGCAAAGGAGGTAAGACGAAGGTTTGAGGACTAAATGAAGCCACTTTTACTTGGTTAATAGGAATAGCTGTGACTGAAAATATATGTGTGTATTATGTATTTTTAATTGCACAGTATATTTTCCATTATTGTTGGTTAACAACTTCGTTTACATAGTTGCATTTTCCATTTAGCTAACACTGACCTGCTTAAGCATAGAAATTCTGAAAACTTTATTTTTTGGTGAAAACCTAAGTGGCATAATAGAAGACATTTTGCAAGAGATCAAAAGGTCTGAGTTTATGTTCCTTCTATATTAGCATGCGACCTTGAAAAAGTTGCTTATGCACAGAACCTCAATTTTCATGTCTTGGCAAAGACAGTGCCTGCTCTGCTTCTTCACTGGATTGTCCTTGTCATTAATGCACAGTATTTTGACAAGTGTTAGGCAATTCTCAGATAGTGTTATCTGTGAGAGTTAAAGAGGAAAGAAACATGAAGAAAGGCTTAACAGTCAAAGACAGATTCATTTTGAAGAAATAAACCTGAGAGAGGCTTCTGGCTGATTTTGGTTGGGAGTGCGCGCTCTCAGAGTGTGCTAATCTACCCTGTGTTAGCCAGACAGACTCCATCTTGACCTCTGCCTCACCCCTCCTGCCCCTCCTCCCTTAAGTGCATACCTGGGTCTTGCTACTGTGCCGGGTCATGCTGTACTTAGAACTATCAAAACATATAACCTTTGTAACCACAGCCCGCTTGGCAAGCCCACTTGCCATTGCGAATGCCCCACCCCCCACTGATGACATGACAAGTACCGAATACCCCCTTGGTAACTGGCAGTCATGGGAACCACGTGTGTATACCCTCTTTGAAAAATTAACAATCATGAGAACCTCCTGCCTCCTAGTTACCAACCTCCTTATCTAACTTGCTTGTTCTGCTTCTGTAAACTCTACTCCAACTAGGCTCCCCTTCACCTACCTAAATCAAGGTATAAAAGATAAGCCCCTTCCTCAGGCATACAGAATTTTGAGCCTTAGCCATCTCTTGCTCACTGACTGCTTAATAACGGGCTCTCAGTTGAAAACAGAGCATGGCACTGTTCCATCTGACTCACCTGGGTACAACAACAGACCAAGAGTATTTATTGATGAGAGAGCTTGGAATGTTTCTGTGTGGGGCAGAAGTTTATGGTGGGGTTGAAATGTCTGTGGTCAGAGGGAAAGTTACCTTGGGGCTGAACATTTCTCCCGCTGGAGGGGAGGTTATCTCGGGGCTGGCAGGTCTCTGGTTGGGTGGGGGGATTGGAATGTTTCTGATTGGAGATGTTATTTGTGGTTTGTGGTTATGCTGACCCTACCCATTAGGCTGATACCCTTTGGATTTAGGCAGTTTTTGGTCAAGATGAACTTGAAATGGCAATGCTTGTCCAAGTTGACGATCCTTCCGCTCTGTCATAATCAGTAAATTAGCTTCGTGGGTTGTATCAGTCCAGGACCCAGCAGGAGCCAGAAGTTAGACTCAGACTGCGTAATTCAAGAGGAGCTTAGTGAGGGCACCATTTTCAAAGATAGAGACGGGAGGTGAGGAATTGCAGTTCAGGGGAGGGAGTGAAGACTGGAACCCTGGAGAGGGCGAGCTGCATGAAGAAGAGCACTTGACGAGAACTGGGCCTTCAGCTCAGTGGCATAGCCAGCCCACCGTGACGCCACACGAGGGGACTGGGAGAATAAATATCCCAACTTCAGAGTCTTCTTTTTTTAAACAAATTCCACTTTGGTTTTTATGCTTTTTTTCTACATCTTACCTTGTCTCATACATACCTAATTCAACTATAGTTTTCTTTTTCTTCTTTGGTAATTCACTTTTATTTTATCTTTCAAAGACATTTAGCTTTCTTAGATACTTAATTGCCAAAGAAAAATCTCCTTTTGTTTTAAAAATAATGTATTTATATATTTTTT